TTTTATTCATTTTTGGAATTTCTAAAATCATTTGTCAAACAGAATTCTTTTTTACATGAACACATGTGTGACGTCATTTTTATATTTATCTATCATCATACTCTAAATTTTTCACTGTCATCACATTTTCAATCATTTCACTACATCGTTTCTTTTCCTAAAACATCTTAAAACATTTAATGCATGAGAATTAAACTATCTTATTGTTGTATACTGGTTTTAATACTTTATATGATGGAACAGATTTTACTATATTTAAATATTAATAGTATTTCTAGTTAATTCTTTGTCCATTAAATTTGCTGTACCTTATAATTGATAATGCAAAAGAAATGTAAAATTATTATAAATATTAATTATAAAAAGTAAATAAATTGTAAATATAAAACTTCTTACTTACATTAGTAATAATAGAGAAAACTGTTTTTGTAAGTAGCCATAAATTTTATACAAGTAACTTGCTTTGGAAAATTCTGGGAAAAACTGCTTTATTATTAAGTTTATAACAATTCTAAATTGTTGGAATATTTATGTATATTGGAAATATTCAAAATACTTTTTTTTTTAATTGTCTATAAAGAATTTAAGCTCTTGGAATTGCTTGCTTCTTAGCAACTTAAAAAAATATTAAATTAATTATAGGAGTAAAGGATTTAACTGTTTTCTTTTATAAATTAAATAATGAATATTTTAATAATCTGTATAACATAGTATAGATAATAAATTAAAATTAAATGAATCATATAAATTTATTCTTTCATTCTATTATCAGATCTTTATCATTTGGCTTAAAGTTAAGTCAGGCTTTGAATTTTATAATTTTTTTGTTATATATTAATAGATGACATTGATATCAAGATATTTTAGAACTAGTTGCCAACCCAATCTATTTTTGCAGAAATTGGACTTAATGTTTCATAACTAATTAAAAGGCATGAATTCAAAATTTTGCACTTGTAGTATTAATGCCAAATGATTTGATTTGTGTGTTATATTTTTCAGAGTTTTTATTAGTAGACCTGTATTTTGATATATATTTAATTTTAAATTTATATATATATATATATATATATATATGTGTGCATGTGTGAGAATTCTCCCCATAAAATACAAAAATACAATTGTTGATGATAAACAATAACACTCTTGGTCAATTAATAAGTTATTTCAATAAATATAAAATAACTTATATTTCATATGTACAATTTTTATCACATGCAATATTAATAATATTTTTCTTCTTTTGGAAACATTACATATATTTATTCAGTCTTAATAATTTGAAAGAGTTGATTTTATTGCTAAAATATAGTACAAAATTATAAACTAGAATTAAAAATAATAGGCATTAATTTGTATTTTAAAAATGGTAATTTGGAAATAATTAGAGTTCTAGTCTCTAATTTAAATAAATTGATGTATGATGGTTTTAGGTTGTGAAATGTAAGTATTTGGCAATTGCAAGAAAAATAATCTTGCCATCTGTTAGTCAAATTTGGGTTTTCATCTCATATAATTAAACAAATTATACTCTTATAACAAAATTTTTTATAAAAGAAATTATTAAACTTTTTCTACACAATAGAAAAATTGGTATTTTCATCTAATTTAATTGAAAATATCAGTCTTAAACAGTAAAAATAATTTTACTTTTGAACATTTTTGAGCTAATCAGCTTAACATTAATAAGGATAAACATTTCTACATTTCCTTATGCTAGAAATGTGCCTTCTGAATAAGGAAAATAATAAATAAACTTTATTTTATTAGAATTAAAGATATACAAAAATACTTGAATGCTTAATTCAGAATTGTTAAAGATATACATATGAATTTATCTACTTTATATATTTTTAGCTGCAGTAAAATAGTAAATGATATTTAATTTTTTTATATAAATTTTCAAAAAACTGTATATCTATTTAAAACATATGCATATTGTGTAGTTATGTAATGAAATAGAAATTTATATTTTGATTTTAAAAATGCTAATTTTTATTTCTGTAACAAACAAAATAGAACTTCTTGTTATATGTCACATTATATACAACATTAAGATGTTATCATAATATACACATGGGATAAGATATTACATAGATGGTTAGTTTGAATATATCTATATTAAATAGAGAAAAGTAAATGACAAGATGTGTAAAATATAGGAATCAAAATAATTTGATGTAAATTAATGTCTTAGGTCAATTAGAAGTTTACAAAGTGATAACAGATTAAAAAAGAAAAAGGTGATTTACACAGTGTACTATTTGACAGTAAGGAGTATTGTTATTGCTTACGTTAACCTAAAAAAAGCATTGTTTTCTAAGGCTAAAAAATGAGAATAGATTTTTTTAGTCTATGAAGTCTACACTTATTAGATGTTAAATTTAAACAACTTAAATTCTAAGAGACTGAGTCAAGCTAAAACAAGGAATTTCCAAATATAAAGAGTATAGTGAAGATTAAAAATTAAGATTAAAACAGGAAGTGTTAGTTTTTCTGTGGTTTGAAATAATATAAGTCTTGAAAAATGTAGACGTAAATGCATATAATTTTTCAGTTGAAAATAAAAATACTTCAATAAGAAGGATGATAACTAATATATTAATTTATGTAATCATAACAACCAAAATTGTGAAAATTAAACTTTAATTTTAATTATGCCCATAGTGAAACTTTGGGTGTAAAATTTAATCATAGTCATTGCAAGATAGTTTTTTTTTTTTAAATAGTAAAAATAAACTTAATTAGTTTAGCATTATTTTAATAATTAAAATTAATTATAAATAATAATGCTTATCCACACTAAGTTCTGGCGAAGTTATTTGCACCCTTTAGTTGCAATTACTAAGAACATCTGTGTGCCAAAACATGATACATTTACTTCCTTGTTTGGGATAGATTCAAATTTCACCATGTTCGACTCATACTGGCAGACAATGATACTATTCTTCTCTATGAATTTTTTTATAATTAACATCCTTGTTTGGGATAGATTCAAATTTCACCATGTTCGACTCATACTGGCAGACAATGATACTATTCTTCTCAATGAATTTTTTTATAATTAAATTCGAACACATTTTAAAACGTTTGCATTTATTTGTTCGAAGTGAATAGTTCTTTTAAAAAATGTATGATGGATGAGGCTTTAGAGACAGAAACAATATGTCACGTTTCGTTTACTTTAACAGAAACTTTTGTTACATTGACATAATTTCCTTACATAACTTTCTCGATTACATAAGAAATGTCCAAAATATACTTCACGTTCATCTATGCAAGCATAGAAACGTTAGAACACAAACAGCCACAGTCTTTAGAAGGTCGCGAATAATGATATAGGCAAGCGTTGTCGATGGGGGTGACATACACTAGCGTTTTCAGATGGCCTTACAGAAAAAACCTGCATTGTAACATTACAAGACATTGTAACATCTGTCACGTATATCTTATGTCCGGAAAGCGTCAATTTCCGGCCTTTTATCTTTATTTTCTTGTCAGGAATCATCGACTGTTTCTGAAATACCTTGTATAAAGCAAAACTGTTATTGTCTTAATTCCATAACATTTTTTTTACTGTTAAATTTTCTATTCATTTATACAAATTAGAGAATTTTTGAATTTGGCAAAGAAAATTATATATTAAACAGAGAAAATACTTAAAATTCTTATCAGTTAAGTGTAAAAAAGTGCTGAGAAGATCTCAGAATCTTATATTAATAAGTCTTTTGTGTCGATTCGACAGAATTTTTAATCTATTTGACAAAATGTAATTTTACTCTTTTAAAAATCTAATATATATATTTTTTTCTTATCGATTTTCAAATTCTTTAATTTGAAAACTGAATCCGCAGATATAGTTTTTTGTTAAGCACTTTTTAAATATGTATGATAATTGGCACATCTGGACCCTCTAATATACTGCAGCCCGTTTAAAAGGGGAAAAAGATGTTTTCAGGTTAAAAAAACTGCTATTAATCAAGCAATAACATAGTTTATTTTGTATGAAACAAACAATTATTAGCTTACTTAGTTCCTTGTTACCGAACACTTATACTATCTCTGCTTCGTAAACAAGCTTAAGTTTTATTTTATGCAAAAATTTAAAATAAATACATAAATAAAATTTTATAAACACAGTAGTTAAGTACTATTTATTTATTGATGTGATTTTCTAAAATTTAAATAGGCCACTGTGGAATTTAGTGACCGAGTGGATAGTCACTGAACAGTAGGTTCGCTCCTCTCTCCAACAGGCTTTCCTCTTGGAATCTCACGTGTTTAACATCTAAATATGGGCCAGTTTCCCATTTTAAAATAATCCTTCCAGAACTGCCCCCCTATAGAGTAGTTATCGAAGAGTTTAACAGGTTCCAGTCACTTCCCACTAATTACATACAGCAATCTGGATGAAATCTGTTAAATAAGATCCTATTAGTCCCACAGGACGGAAAGAGATTGGTTTAGATAGGATACGTCAAGGCAAAATGGAAGATCTGAAAAGAATGTTACCTCCGAGAAAACTTTTTGTGGGAAATTGGGTCCTATTTGGGTGTTAAGCATATGAAGAAAACTAAAAAAACTCTACGTGGCCCATCGGAAAGACGTCAATCCACGGTAAAGAGGGCAAGAAGGAGGGAGAGAGGAGATAGACAGTAGAGAAAGATAGGATCCCTCTAAACGGCGTACGTACGGCAACAGTACCCTCTATGNAATTTTGATAAAAATTTTAAAGTAATATTCTTTCATTTCGATTCCAAGCAAGAAATTTTTTTACATCAAAAATTTAAGTACAAAATAAGAGTTTAATAATATGGAATTTTTTGTCTTTTTTGCGTTAAAATACATAGACACTGATCAATTCGTTTTTTTTTTAATTTAAATTAATACTTCATTACAGCTGGAAAATAAAAGAGCAGATAATTATAAGCATTAATAAATTTTTTATTTTGTGTTCTTATGCAAGATTATAACTTGCAGAATAGAAAGATAACAATTTTACAATAAATGCACTTTTAATATTTGCAGTTTGCAGAAGTTTTAGAGGATCTGGAAGAAGAAAAAAGAGTGTCAAGTCAATGGAAAAGAAAAGCAATGAAAGCCAATAGTGAAATTCAGGATCAGAGATTAATGCTAGAGGAACAAATGGCAAGAAATGCTGAATTAGAAAAAAAACAAAGAAAGTAAATATCGAAAAATATTACTTATTAAGTTCGTAATAAATTTTGGTAATTAATGGATGAAGTAATTAATTTCTATCAATATATTAAGATATTATAAATTATGCAATATAATCTGTAAAATTTATATTATAAAAATATTCTTCTTGGATTATATTGGCTTATAAGAAAGACAATAGAATTCAAAAAACTAATTTCATGTGTTAAATAATTCAAACATAAATTTCTCAAACAAATATTTTTCTTTTACTTGATAACATCCATCGTTTGGTTATTATTCCTTTACTTCATAAATATACCATTTTTTAATGAATATATCTGCAAACTGTAGGACATTCTGGTGTCTATGTTGCATATGTAATCTTTAAATAACAACATATTTTTAGAGAAAGACAATGTGTTAACAATAAAAATTCAAAATTTAATAAATAATCTTGCTTTTAGTTTAGTTTCGAGGCTAAAAAACAAGAAAATAAAATATTCTAAACAATATAACATTATATAAAATTTTGGATAATTTCATTTCACTTTACATTGCATTGTTTATTATCACGATTAATATTTTTATTTTCTCCTTATTCTTCTCCTTATTCTATCTGTAATTTTACAAAATATTAATGAATTGTTTTTTTTTACAGATTTGATGTAGAATTAAGTAATCGACAAGAAGAAATTATAAAAGAACACTTTTTAAGGGAAAAGGTTGAAAGAGAGAAGGACATGCTCCAACGTGAAAAATATTCGTTAGAACAAGAATTGCATGTATGTAATAAAAGATAATAATAAAAATTAAAATAATAAAACCAATATTTTGAATTTAACATACCATATTTACTTGCATATAAGATGTCCTCGCATACAGGACGAAGTATGACTTTAAAGATCAAAATAAAGAAAATTAGATTTATTAATACAAATTTAATTTTATTTCATTTAATCACAAGTAAAATATTAAATGAATGTAAATGCACACATTGTCCTGCAAAAATTACTGTCATTTTAAACTTTAAGGAAAAATCCTGTAAAATTGACAACATAGTTTGTTCATTTAAAGCTGGACAATCGAGAATTTTTTTTTTTCCAATTCTTACCAGTCAAATCCACTCTCCATCAATTACACTTATGAATTTCTTTGAATTCTGATTTCCAAATAATCATCTGTTTTCATATGGGAATGGATTAAAACTTATATCATGCTTCTATGTGATTTTGGAATTTCAATCTGGAATTCAATTCAAAAGCTTTGCTTTTCCTATTGCTATTCATCTTTACTCCTGACAATATATTGGGTCTACTGGAAAGTTCTGTCTGTTTCAGTTACAACAAATTTCAGCAACCATGCACATATTCATTTGATGCATATTTGTCTCTCTCTTTTTATCACTGAATGTATACAAACTGACCTAGCAAATGAACTAAAACAAAGATGATTCATGTTAGTATTAAGTGAGATGCGATCGTATACACATGGCTACTGATAAAGTTCATTTATGCCACTGTATTTTGTACGAATTCCAACAAGGAAGAAATGTTGCAGAAGCATGTAGAAATTTATTGAAAGTGTTTGGTGAAGGTACAGTTTCTGATAGAACATGCAGAAGATAATTTGAAAAATTTCAAATAGGTGATTTTGACCTTTCTGATAAGCCATGCTCTGGGCGACCATCTTTGATCGACAACGATACTGTCAAGATCATGTTAGAGCAAAATCCTTTTTGACAACATCGGAGATTGCGGAAAAGCTTGACTCAGCTCAACAAACCATTTCAAATCATATTTGGAAATTAGGATTGGTGTGGAAATATTCGAGATGGGTGCCACATGAGTTAAGTGAGAAGAATCTGAATGATCGAGTCATCATGTGTACATCTATGCTTGCATGGAACAAAATTGAACCCTTCTTGGACTGGATGATAACTGGGGATGAAAAGTGGATTACCTATGAAAACATCATAAGGAAAAGGGCATATTGTGAATCCGGAAAACCTGCCCCTCCACCTCTAAACCAAAGTTGAGCCTGAATAAGAGAATGTTGTGTATATGGTGGGACATTCGAGGACTAATACATTTTGAGCTGTTAAAACCGAACGAAAAGCAAAATTCGGAGAGGTACTGTCAGCAATTGGATAATTTAAAAACAGCACTCCAAGAAAACAGGCTGGTGATGTTCAATAGGAAGGACATCATACTGCTTCATGATAATGCCAGGTCACATACTGCTTTGGGGACTCGTCAGAAACTTGCAGAGCTAGGCTAGGAAATTCTGTCACATCTACCATACTCCCTGGACCTAGCACCCTCCGATTATCACTTGTTTTTGTCCTTACAAAATTTTTTGCAGGGCAAAAAATTCAAAAACGAAGACGATATCAGACAAGCACTGGTTCAATTTTTCACCTCTAGGGATAAGGCATTTTTTTAAAAATGGGATATACAAATTACCATCATGCTGGCAAGAAGTCATAAATAATGATGGAAATTATATTATTCAATACAGTTTATTCAAGGTATGAAAAATTTATTATTTTGTTTTATTCTAAAAACGGACAGAACTTTCCAGTAGACCTAATACAAGAACGATTTAGACGAGCCAGACGTCTTTAAATACAAGAGGGTAAGCATCCAATAAAAAATACAAATACACAGTTCACAAAAATTATTTGCAAAAACATGAAGAATCTTTTCCTTGTGCGTATGGGATGACCTAGGAATTTGAAGCTGTGATAAATGAATAAAAACCTCATCTTATATTCGAGTAAATATGGTATGTAGTAGACTCCCTGATTTTATGATCTAATTGATTCATGGGATATCATCTGTAAGCAGGTCATCATACTTCCTGTAAGTACAATATTTTAAATTGAATTTATGTTCCAAGAAATGTAGTTTGAACTATGACAGAAATGGCCAACAAAGAAACATAGCATTTTGTGTAGACATAATAGAAAATTTGTAATAGTTGCACATTTTTTTACCCTACTTTTATAGTCATAAAATGGGGGACTCTATTGTATTTTACATAAATTTATTTTGAAATTATAATATCGTTTTCTTTCTAGTCAACTAGATTAGATATGGAAATGCAATCTGAAAAAATTATAATGTTAAATAAAGAATTAGAAGAACTTGCTGGAAGTACTAGTGGAGAGGAAGAAGTAAGTTTATATTTACTATAACTTAAAATGTTAGTCAAGATTTTCTTTATATTTGTATGCATTACATTAAATAGTTTAAGTAATATGCATATGCTGTATACATTCACAATTTTTATTAAAGACATCTCATGATCTACGAGATAAATATAACTAATATAAGAAAATAGGAAAATGATTTTAAAATGATATAGTCATTCTGTTAGAAAATATTATGATATTATCATCATATTTTAAATAAGTTAATTTAATTATATTTTAATTGATTTAATTACTTATTTGGAACATATGTCAAGATTAATGAGATATTTTGTAAGTTAGAATTAAAAAAAAGTATATTTAAGAATTGAATGAATTGTAATGTACAAAGTTTTATTTTAAAATGTTCTATGTGAATTAATATTGAAATCAGGAATGATATTATATCTACTATCTAATGCAATAGGAATTATTTTGGGAAGATTTTGATTCCTGTTATATTGAAAGAATGTTGGATATTAATTGTGTCTTGGTTTCTGTTTCTGAATATTTGTTTAAAAATAAGTTTTTGATTGACTATCATCTTAAAAGTCATAAAATCATAAAATTAATCAAAAGGATACACTACAGTAATCTGTAATTAGTTTTATAGTGGTTATACAGAATCATAAAATACTACAATTCCACATTCACTATTCAATATTTCTGCATAATATGTAGTGTGAAATGGGACAAAAGTTCAAAGTACAAAGAAAATTACATTAGTGACTTTTTAAAGAATTTTTATTTTTTTTGAATGATAATATTGTTATCGAGATATTAATGTCTTAAATGAGAAATTTATAAAATTTCAAAAATTGATAAATTTTCTGCTATCATTATTCTATTAAAACCAGATTTTTTATTTAATTTGTTAATTGTCTAATCTATTAAGTAATGATTTCATATACATAATTTAAATCAGATTATCATTACCAATTCTGGAACATAATGGCATTAATGGTAATCAGCAGAGATCTATTATGGATCAGGTGTACTGTAATAGATAAAATTGCAATTATCCTTAGTGCCTGTGGCTTTCTTTTTAAAATTGAAATTAAATCTGTATAAAAGTATATATTAAAGCAGACATGGCCAACATACGACCCACGGGCTGGATGTGGCCCATGTAATGGATTCATGTGGCCCACGATTAATCTTTCAATATTAGCTACTCAAGTGAGAATAGAAAAAAAAAGGTCAACAACTCGCTGTCCAGTTAGAGTTAACCCTCCATTACAAATCTCTTAAGTACAGCATAGAACGTTGATAAAGCATGATAATGTGAAAAATGTATCTGTAATCTCTATGTACAATTTAGTCTCTATGGGGTGACACCACCTCAAAATCTTCCTAGGGCAGCCTCTGATTTGGCCTGGGGGCAAAAACTGTTGGCCACCCCTGCATTAAAGTATATTATTGCAGTGGGAAAAAAAGAATTTGAATTCTATCTCATTTCTATTTTTTCTGATATAAAGCAAATATTGATATGAAAGAACATACTAAATAAATTACAGAAGCCATATATTTATTGCAATAAAATATTTTTTAAGACAAAAGTCTTGTCATCAGATTGAACATTTTTCTAAAGAAATAATGAATATATATTCAAATCAAATTTAGCATTTTGTATTCAATTTCAATTACATTTTTATCATAATAAATATATTTCTATAATTTATTTAGCATATTTTTTTGTCTTGATGATGATCAATGAATTAATAGTTAAGATTATATAAGATATCCTAAGTTTACAGATTTATAAAAATTAAGTATATATGATTTTATTATTATTTGTGTGTATGTATGTGAATTTTATATTTCTTTTACATAAATGTAAATTGATAGAAGAAGATTTTTAGAATAATTAACAATAATTTAAAAACAACAATTTTGTAATCAGATAACACAGCTGAAAAGGGCCAAGCAGGAATTGGAAAGGAAGTTTAAAGATCAAGAAGAAGAATTAGAAGAACTTGCAGGTCAAGTACAATTATTAGAACAATCCAAATTAAGATTAGAAATGTCTCTTGAAAAATCAAGACAAGAACTTAGAAGAGAGTTATCTGTAAAAGATGAAGAAATAGAAGAAGTAAGGGCAGCTGCCCAAAAGAAGGTAAGAAAGTTTAAAATTAATCATACGAAAATAATTTACAAATTTAGATTAAATTTTCTTACTATAACCAAATAGCTTATATGACAATAGTGGAAACTCTTGTGAATTAGCATGTACTGTAGTGGTGACAGTAATTCACTCAAACTTGTGACATCTAGCAGTTTGAGGAGAAAAACACTGCAGACTATGTAAAGTCTAACAAAACTTGCAAAAGTGCAACAAAATAAATATTTTATCATCTTTTTTTCTATATTTTATTATCCTAAAACTTGAATTATAATTTTATTTAGTAGGAAATGTGGATGGATAGTGATTTAAAGGAAGGAATAATATCAATAAAACAAATCAAATGCAATAAGAGTAAGATTTTTTAAATTAAAATCTGAGGTTTTAATTTCATTTTATTAAATTGAAACAATTTTTTAAAATAAAACATTTTTACATTAAATTAAAACACATTGAACACCAAAATGTATTATGTGCACAGTTTGATCATATAGGTCATGGATAATACAGTTATTAAATATGTGAAATCTTTAATTTAGCATTTTTCGTTCTCAGAAAACTTTCAGATGAATCATTATTTTTTGTCACATATGTTTTAATAAGAACTTTGAAATATTTATCTGCCAATAATTTAATACAATTGTCACAAACACATTTAATATTTGCATTCTTTAAGAAATAATTAATTAACTTAGTTTTAATTCCATATGGGCTCTGTAACAAAAATGTATTAAAATTGTTTTGAAATATTTATGAAGATAATCTTTTTCCATAAAATGGTCAGAAAACACAACGTAATTTCTATTTAAATATTCTGGCCCTTTTGTTTTCAAAATCTTGTCTAAATTGTATCTTCTGCTCTTAAATACCCATTGAGTGCATCTGAAAATCAAATCAATCTAGTTGCTTATTAATTTACTTACACTTGTTTGTTTTTAGGGAATCTATACGACTTGTGATCACTTTGTATCTTATAATTAAAGCAGCCATACATAGCACAAATAACTCCTCTTCTAGCCACTCTAATTATTGTGAGATATAAAAATGTTCAAAACTTTGTATTAATACCCAAAAACGTCTCCTTATACACGAAGTACTGTACAAATGGATTGAAGTGTAGTTATCTCCTCAAACCACTAGATGGAGGGCAGAAGCTTGTCACCAGTTTTCAGCAGAAGTTTCCACTATTGTCGTAATAAACTATTTGCTATAACTATTGATAATTTAGAAAGTTTTTTTTATATACAAAAAAACTATCAATTAATGTTTTCAAATAATGAATTGTATGGATTGAATATGTTCTTAATAATCAACATCTAGTTTATACAGATCATTGTAAAAGCTATATTAAATTTTTTACATTTATTTCACATTCATATTTATTTTTTTTATTTATATTTAGATTTTTATCTATGAAATGTTTATTACTCTCATTAACTACAAGCATATATGAGTTAAAAATAATATGACTTTTTGTCAGTTGAGCCACATTGTCACTAAAGCATTGAATACATGAACTTAATTATCTATTTTTGTGGTTATTTTCAATTTTTTAATAACATATAAAACCAAAATAATAACTAAGATTTAGTGCTAGATTAATAATAAACTGTAGAATTAATAAATAATCCTAACTATTTTCCCACAGACCAACCTGAAAAATAAAACTAATTCTTAACTCTCCTGGATAAGTTTGAAAGTACTTGGGAATTAAGAATCAGAATTTTTTTCAGGATGGTCTCTGGAAAGTAGTTAGGATTACTTATAAAAGTTTGTTTTGAGAGAGACTTATGGTTAATAAATAAATTTTATAAACAGGTTAAAAATCTTGAATCTCAATTGGAATCAGAACAAGAAGAACGCCATCAAGTATTGAAACAGAAACATGAATTAGAAAGAAAAATAGTTGAATTATCTGACCAACCTCCACCTCATGATCCTGAAGTGGAGCGACGTCTTCGACGGGATCTAAAACGTACAAAGGCTCTGCTTCAAGATGCACAAATGATGTTAGAACGTGTGCGTGAGGGCCAAGCTGGTAAATCAATAATACGCCAATTAAAGAACCAAGTAAGTACATTAAAATTTAAATTAAATAATTTTGAAACAAATTCAAAACTTAAGTTTAAATATTAATAACACAGTTAGAAGATGCAGAATTTGCCAAAACAGCTGCTATAAAAGCAAGACAGGGAGCAGAAATGGAATTGCAAGATTTACAATCTCAATTGGAAGAAGTGACAAGAACAAAGTGTGAGGTAAATAAATTTTTTTATTAATTAAATAGAAATTATTCTAATAAACACACTCAAGAAAACCTTTTAAATATGCAGCATTAACATTCTAACATTTTTGGTCATATTTAATGACCTTTATCAAAAATAAATGGAAAAAAGAAAAAAATCAAACTCCTAACTAAATTGTTCATATTAGAATAATTTCTAATATGAACAATTTGCCATTAGTGTATTATATGATGGTGATCAATTGTGCTTATACTCATTTTTTATCTCAGGTTCCATTATATTTAAATTTTAAATTTGTATATTCTATTTAATGTTTATATTTTTTATTCTTTTACATTTCAAACTTTGTATTTGATAGTTCATTAACTGAAGAATGCCAGTTAATTTGGTTGATAGTTAATAAGTTAATAATTTTGTTAATAAGTTGTGAATTTTTGACTACAAGTGTCATTTCTTCCAGTTTTTTTTAATCATTTTTGATACTCATTACATTAACCTTCCATCTCAGTATTCCCCAGTTGCTTTCATTAAACTGTGATATTTTTAATAATTGTACTTGATAGTAACCTGTACTACTGCTACATATGATGGAAAAAAATCATGATGATAAATTTTTTCACTCATTTTCTGGACTGTGTGGTGAATCCTTATTGCACATTCTACAACAGACAATACTTTTTACAATTGAAAATACTTCAAAAATAAAGATTTTAGTGAGTTATGTTTGCATATTCCTATTTATTACTCTATATGGAAATATTTTTTGTCTTGTTTTATATCCATTTTTTAAATATACTCTATAAGTAGATAAATCTGATGAGTGCCACAAAGCAACCATTTACTATGTCATAAATATTTATTGCATAGTAAACTATTGCTTTCTGTAGTAAATAATAAATGAGTTTTGTATAGTAAATAGTTATGTTTTGTGGTTAATGCTAATGCATTACATAATATGATGAGAATATGTAAATTGTGATTGCTCTGTAATCCTCTTCACTATAGTGTTGAAATATACAAATTATAGTGACAGTTTATTGGTTGCAAAGACAATATCTTACTCACTAACAGTTGATGGTAATTAAGTTGAGAGAGCCATTTGTAGCAGTAGACCAAATTACAAGATTATCAAGTCATTTTACTCATATTGGCATTGTTAATAAATGTTCCATTGGGTAAAATCTTGAATAATTGGAGAGAAGAGATGTAGGACTGGCCATTGGGATAAAATTGTCTATTTACAAGTGACTTAAAAATTGAATTAATAACTGGAAATTTCCTGGGAATAAAGCATTTTATTTTTCTTCAACCAAATAATTTAAATGTTGGGGTATAATCTAAAGAAGGAAAAATAATGAAAGTATGATTTAATTTATTTCTTTTATACTATACAGTATTTACTTTTGCAGTATTTGAACATTCCTTAATTTTATTATTGATTATTTTAAAAGCATGACCAAACTTTAGTAGAAACAGATTAAGAGCACTAAAAAGATCTCACAGTTCTTAATCTGGTATGATATCTTTAATAATAGTAATAAAAAAAATTGATATATGCCATATTTTCCGTAAGCACTTTCCAAAAGTCTGTCATGGAAACTATTTTTACCTAATAAGTTGATAATCAAATCTGGATAGGCCTTAGGAGTTGCATGATAAAAATCCAAATGGCTTTATTTTGATAGTGATCCTTAGACTTATCAAAATGAAATACTTACATACATTTATAAGTTGTTATACAATAAAAACAAATTAAAATAATTTAAATGTACAAAACCAATAGTTGTTAGCCAGAAGCAAACCATTTTTTTATATTTATCTGCTTTATTTGTTACCTAGTCCTTAATGGTCTGTAGTTATTTGCATCATTTGTTTCTTTTTTTTTATCTCTGAATGAATCCTTATTTGATAATTTCATTCAAGTTTATCTTAAAATTTTTTAGAAAACTACAATGACCATTTTTATTAATGTTATCTCATTAATAATTTGTTCATATTCATCAATCTAATATTAAGAACTCTTGTTAGAATAGTTAAAACAGTCTATCTCAATAATAGTTGTTTTTCTAGACTTGACATTAGAATTTCATTTCTCAGTTCTTTAAAAATATATATAAATTTTTTCTAAATAATAATTGCTAAATTGTGGATCCATCTTATAATTTGTAAATATGAGAATTTTATTTATAAAATATACTGTTGTTATTCCATTATTATTATTTTTTATAAGCACTGCACACACAACCAATATCCAGCAAGAAAATACAGAACTACATAAAAACAAACATTTTGATCTGTGTTGAACGATCATCAGGCTAATTGTTTTACCAGCTGCATTCAAACTCCAAAGGTGAAACATATTTGCTTTCATGTAGTTTTATATTTTCTTGCTGGATTTTGGTTCTGTGTGTAGTGCTCATTTATGTATACCCAGTTTGAATGGTTGAATTATTTTTTATAATTTTATAAATATAAACACACAAATATAGAAAATTTTATATATAGTCAGCAGCTTGAGTAATAAAATAAATGATATATTGCCATTCCATTCCACCATAGCATACTAATTTTCATGGAAACTGAATTTAAAAATTTAATATTTGTGACTAAATCTTCTCAAACAAGTATAATAATTTTCATAGAAACCTTAAATTTAGAATTTTTAAAATATCTTAAATCAATATTTTTGTTAGGGGAAATTACAAGCAGAAAGATGTATTTCATTATATTACAGTACATTTAAATTTTAAAAAGTTACATATTTTCTTTAGGTTGAGAGCAGATCTCTTCAGTTGTCTCGAGAGAAAAATGCTCTACAAACTCAGTTAGAAGAAATGGAAGAAGAACTTGCAGAAGTCATGAAAAAATATAAAGCAGTTGTACAACAAGTAAGATTATTTAAGAAAAATTCTATTATAGTTAGAATTATAATATAATATTATTGACTGATAGTATTATTCTATATTAATTTCATATTTAGAAACATCATTTAGTTATTTAAATATTAAAAGTCAAATCAGAATATCAAATGGCTGTTTTAAAAAGGCCAAAAGTACTTGTTTTAAAAAATTAGTGCTAGATAGTAAATGTTTCAATTATTTAGAATTTATTAAATGAATTTTTTTGTTAGTAACTAAATTTTTAAATAAAATATTTTAAAAAGTAGTGAATATTTTATAATTTTAACAGATTAAAATAAAAATTATTTTATTTCATTTTATGGTGTAATGTATTTTCTTATTGCATGTAATCATCCTATTTTGGTTATATCTATAGTATTTATTTTATATTACTCAGATTTTTTAATTACCCTAATGTGGTTTGCATGGTATTTTGGATTTGTAGATATTGTCTGTGATGCATATTAGTTCTTATTGTTTTTTTATTTCAACCACCATGTTTTATTTCTCCTTATTTGAAAATATAAAGTTTTATTTTAGTGTGTAAATCTTTAATTTTATTTTAAAAGAATAAATCTTAAAAGTGATATGAAATTTTATAAATGGAAACTATATCTTGTTGTTTATTATATTTATATATAGTTTTGTTATTTATATGAATAATAATTTAAATATTGGGATAATCATGTTGTACTTTATATCTAATTATATGAAAATCATTTCCAATATTTAATATGCAAGTAATATTATATTAAAAGCATGGTGGTCAGATGAAATCAATAAGAACTAATGCTCAGATCTTACAAAAAAGACTAGTAACATCCTATAATAATATCCAAAGTTCAAATTATCAATTATACAGTGTGAATTACTAATAAATACAATACTCTTGATGAAAATTAAGATATATTAAAAAGAATTCTTTATTTTTCTAATAGAATACTAGAATGATAATTAGATAAATAATTATGGTCACTGAAATATAAATACTTCAGTATTTACAATTTGTTTGTTTGCCAAAGATTGGTAAATTGCCCATCTTGAATAATTAAAATTTCTGACCAGTTCACTGACTAAAAGAAAAATCTAAATTAAAATTTGTAAATTCTTACCTAATTGATCACTTGAAATGAAGTTTTTCATTTTTTAGTTTAACAATAATTAAAATTGAGATATTTTCATTGATAGTTTAGTCCTCAACTTGCATTCTGTTTCAGTTTTTCTATTAATTAGTTAATAAATTTTGTAAAAATGAATGACCAAGAATTTTTCATTTTGTAAATTAATTATTTTTTATTTGAAAATCTTACAACTATGGAGATTCAAACAAAAATATTAATATATGCTGATGACAAAAGAAAATAGTATTATTAGTATGTCTAATTAGGTCTAATTATATCTGTAGGTGTTTCATAAAAAAAATTTCCTTTATGTGAAAATTTTGCATTATCAAAGTATGAAATAACAGAATTTCTTTATTGTTTTTTATTTTACTATTAGCTGGAAGCTTATCAAACAGTGTTAGACAGTAACTAATATGTTAAAATAATTTTTAAAAAATTAAAAAGTATTCTTCAAAACTTTAATATTGCTAAAATGATCAAAGTGCTAGAATCAATAGAAGACAACTGAAAGATAATAGACAAATAAGACTAATGTCACCAATAATTGTTATTTTAATACTATAAAAAAATAAATAAAACTTACTCAGATTAAAACAGAAAACTCAATTCAGAAAGCTAGATCTAAATCTGTGATGTTTAGAGCTGTTCTATTCAGATTTCTGCCATGGTCAATTACTTGTCTAAAGATAAGAATGACAATGAGGATAATGTTTAGATAATATGCTATTTAAAAACCAACTCATAATATTCAAAATTGCACTATCAGTTTATACAAAAATATTACTCTTTTATTTATTCATGGAAATATTAAACAGAATTGCTCAGTAGGAAAAACAGAAATTATCAAATGAAAACTAAATGTAGTTACTGGAACCACAATACTTTATTTATCATATTGTTATGTGATATTTGTCTTATTTTTGTTCATAAAATATAAGGCAATGTCACAGACAACGAGAGCCTCCCAGTTGTAACAATTAGAAAACAGAATATGTTAATAATATGGCTGTATATGGAGGAAATGTACTCTTTCAGTGTTAAATTTATTTATTTGATGAATTGATCACATGCAAGTACTTCCAACATTTCAAAATGTCATCCTAAGGTGAAGAAAGAATATACAAAATTCTTTGTATTTTCAAAGTTTGACTTTTGTGTATTCTTTGCTTGAGGATGTCATTTTGAAATGTCAAAAGTCCTTGTCTGTGATCAATTCATCAGATAAATTAATTTAACACTGAATGACAGTACATTTTCTCCATATACTATATTTGGCATTGTATATGAGTATAAAGTTTTTATTAGTGACTAAGTATATTTGTACATAATATTACAATGAATTTTAACTGATTAAAAAGTTAAGAGTTTATGTTGTGATTTCATAAACCAGACTGTTTTATGTATTAAAACATGCTTGCATTAAAATATTTAAGTGATATCTACATCATTTTTCAATATATTATTTCACAGTATGAGTGGCGAATGAATATAAGTTTTACAAATAAAAGAGAGCATATATTAAATATAATTGATTAAATTGTTTTGCAAAAAGGAATTATTTTTAAACAACAACAAAACATAAGATATAATTAAGTTATAATAAAAAATTAATAAGGCAAGTTTTATATTTATTATTAAACTAAAATTAAATTTAAATAGTAAAAATTGAAATATACTGAATTTACTGACTTTGAATTTCTAGAGATATGAAATAAATTTAAGACAGTCATCAGCTGTAACTTAATCCATTTCTTACAGGTACAGCTTAGCACAATAAGACATATGATGATGATACTTTTAGTCTTCATTAATTTGTGTTATTAATGATATGTTTATATAGTTTTTGAGGCAGATCAAACAGGCTTATTTGGGTAGAACAGTTACAAGAATAATCAAAACAATCTGTGACACTGATCAATATAGCAAGTAAACTAACAATATTAATGAAATTTATAGATCATATTGACTAAATAGATAGATGTGTAGAGTTATGCATTGAAATCAAAGATCAGTGGTAGATAAGCAAAATAAGTATAACATTGTCTTTTTTGTTACTGTTATATATCCAGAGCCAAATAGAATATATGTAAACATAGACATAAGGAATTAAAGAGTTTAATTAATAAATTAAACATTTAATATTTCTGAAAGATAACGAGATATAAATTGATAAGGTTCGTACAGCAGAATGGGTGAAATTGATTTGTAAAAGTGAACATTAATCACATTGTTTAATAGTATAATTTTAAACGTTTGCATCAAAAGAAGAAAGTTCCTAAATCCAAATATTACAATCAATATCTGTTACTAATGCATGAAAAACTTTTATTGCTGGACAAATTAACTAACAATTATTTATATAATGGCTGATTTCAAATTAATCAATGATTAGCAGATTATATTTTGATGATAGTACAGTTCTATCTTTTATGTAGAAATTGAAAATATGGAGATTTTCAATTTTTACATGATATTGATATGACATGATACGATATGATATTTAAATTAATATGCTTCTGTTGTTTATGTTGCAAGTTACCAAACTTTGAAGATATTTAATTTTAGTGCATTTGTCTTGCATTTTCCACAAGCTTATGCTAAAATATGCAAAATTTTATGGGCTAAATACACTATTGATCATATCTAACCATCAATAAGAGTATTGTATTTATTAATTATCAATATTTACTCATAAAAAATAGCTATTTGGCTTTTAACTTGCATTTTAATGAAATAATAATGTAAAAATTGAAGGTAGAATATTTAATAAGAGTATTGTATTTATTAACAGTCAATATTTTACTCATTTATTAAAAATAGGAGCTATTTGGCTTTTAACTTGCATTTTAATCAAATTATAATGTAAAAGTTGAAGGTAGAATATTCCTCTCTAGATGTCCTCAGATCAGAAGCTATTGACAGACCAGCATGAACAAATTACTGAACTGGAAGCTGAGAAACAGACACTTAAAGAACAGGTAGGCTCTGAGAGAAAAAAAATTATTGTTAGGGAAAGTTTTTATCATAACTTAAGTCTAAATTTGAAAAGGAAAATTGTCAATTTAATAAGATCAATTTTATTCTAGAAAAGTATGATTTATACAGCATACACATTCTGTAGTCTGGTTAAATTCAGAACTTCCCATGAAAAAGAAAATTAGTTTTAAATTATTGATTATTAATAATTAGTATTATGAAAGTACATTCTTGAAAACATACAATAAACAGTATATTCTGTATATGTAAGTCTGTCATAATATATTTTTCCATGAATATAGTAAACTAGATGAACTAGAAAATCAATACAGGTCTAAATTGTTTATCATTATATTATAATCAGTATTTTGGTTAAATTCAGAACTTCCCATGAAAAAGAAAATTAGTTTTAAATTATTGATTATTAATAATTAGTTATGAAAGTACATTCTTGAAAACATACAATAAACAGTATATTCTGTATATGTAAGTCTGTCATAATATATTTTTCCATGAATATAGTAAACTAGATGAACTAGAAAATCAATACAGGTCTAAATTGTTTATCATTATATTATAATCAGTATTTGTGTATTAAAATTAATATTAAATAAGAAATGAAATCTTTAATTTTATCTCTTCTTTTTCATTCAAATACTATATTATATCAATATACTAAATATTATANTTGGAAATGATGATAAATATATTAATTGATATTTATCTATTTTTTTTTTACGTAATGACATTTTTTTTAATGTTATATATATTGATGTATTTGTCAGCAGTTTATTAATTACATTTTAATAAATTATTGTAAGTGATATTAGAAGATATATTCACTTTCTACTATATGTAATCAGATCAGAATTGCATATAATTAACTGAATAAAGTTAACATAAATAAAAATTGGTGTCTCACCTTATCTTAATATTTTAAAATTTACTCTGATTTACTTTAATTTGTCAAATGTAGACAATAATAAATAACAAAATCTTCTGTACTGTAATAGATGATAATATAAACTAGTCAATCTACTGTACATACTAAAGAATTTTTTAATTATTATGTATATTGTTACTAATTTGTGTAACTTAATATTATAGGGTATATCACATATTTGAGACCATAAATAATTTGTTTAATAACTAACGTATAATATATCTGACCATTATACTAACTTTTTAATGTAGGGATATTTTGTATAATGTACTATCTGTAATCTACATACAAAAAAAGTTGCATATATAATGGTCTGAGATATCGATTTATCATCATCATTTAAATTTACAACGTAAAGTAGTAGTCATTCAAGTATATTTTTTTTATTATTGAATTTAATATTGAAAATTCTGATCATAAAGCAAATATTAGTCAAACAATACAAATCTATGAACAATAGTTGCAGATTTACATTTTTACTGTTTAAAATAATAAAAAGAACTGCAAATCATATAATTGGAAAAATTTACATTTCCAATAATCAACACACTTTTACTGGACATTTTCTATGTAACTCATCACAAATCTTAATATTTCACTGTTAGGATTGAAAGGCAGATGGAAAATATTTTATATGTATACAATGATGGATATTATATTATTGCTGTAACAGCATGATTCCAAAATTACTATAGAAAACTTTTTTTGTTTACTTTTTGGCAACTTGGAATTTGTGACAATAGAATTCTTTTTACAAGCATTCCTCATGATGAGTTTTGAAGCTGGAAAGTGCTTAGCATTTTTGAGTTTACATTTGGCTTTTTTCTCCCTCTGTTAAAGTAATTTTAATTTTGTTTTCTCATTTATGGAATTATTTTAATGTAAAGTTAAGTATTAGAAAAACTATGTGCAAATTTGTTAATTGATGACTTTCGCATTGAATAATTGCTTCTGCAAATTTTGATAATTTTTCTTTTGATCCTCTCTTAGAAATCTATTTTTTTTAATGCATTTTTGTACAGACTTGTTCCATTGTGTTTTACAAAATATTTGCAAATTTAAAAAATTTCTCTCAAATGACAAAGAAAGTAATTTTTAGTAAAGCAATCTGTAATGAAACAATTTTAAGTGATATATTTCAAGAGACAATACAGTAATTATATTTCAAAAAAACACTGAAAGTAGATGAGAAATAATAATATTTTTCAAAATATTCCTGCATATAAAGTAACTTACTGGGCAGTAACCAATTAAATAGTAACAACACTGCTTAGCCAGTTGCAAGTCATTTAGATCACATAAATTAATAAAATAATTTAATTATTAAGAATATTATTTCCAAAATGGACGTAATTGAATGTGAAGTTAAATGTCTTGTTGGTTTCTGATGATGGATTGGTCTGTAGGCAGTGATGTCACAGATTTGTTTGCTAAAATAAACTTTTATGATCCTTCAAGAGAAATTTGTATTATTTTGCAAATTTTTCTATAAAATACAGTGGATTGATTTGTAGGAAAGAATACAACTAAAAAGAAAGAAAAATTTTCTGAATAAAAGTTGAGAGAAAGAAGAAATTCAATGACATCACAATTCCAAAACACCTCACACAGATTTTAAATAAAGGAAAAATTTTGTTTGTTTGCAAGATTTTTAATACAAATTCTTGTAACAAATCTCTACAATAAAAATTAAATGATTCTAAATTTATAGTACATAAATACATTTCATCAATAATAATTGAAACAATTTGAAGAAAACTTTCCAATAGCATGTTGTTAATTATTGGTTCTTGTATTTTAATAGAAGTTTTTAATATATATTTTTATTCTTGAAAAGAATTAATAAAAAAAAGTTAATAATTTATACACATTATATATATATATATATATACACACAACCTAAATCATTTACATTACGAAACCAATGAAAAGAAGGTTCTTGAATATAAATTTGCCATATACACACACGCACAATTAAGCGATATGTAAAATTTAAGATCCTTTTGAGTGTTTGGTGCAAATCAAATGACCCATCTTTATTTCCTCTAATAGGATCTGCATCTCTTTCAATGTTGTAATTCACTATCCAAAGTTGTAAGATGCGTCAAATTTTAGGCATTTATTTGATAAGTTGAAGAATTGCTATAGTATCAAATTTAAATAAAATAGAAAAGCATTGTATACTTGCAAACACACAGTCGTTCTACACAGTTGAATATCCGGATTTTTGCTCAGGCTTTTTGCGTATCCCAGTTTTTCTAAATCAAATCCATCTATTTCCCATTGCTTCTCAATAGACAGACCACTTTCCTCAAGAATAGACTTGTATGAATGAATAGTGTAGAATTCCTTTAACACNGAAGAAGTAGGAAGATGTCAGAACAACGGTCTTAAAATGGCATCCAAACCAAGTTGAGGTTAATAGGCCAATTACAATGCTATTAATTACTTCTGAAAAATCATGAATAAGACAGAAAAGCAATCGACATTGGATAGATTCTTTAACCCCCACAAACAGAAAAAACATGACTAATAAAAATCCAAGACCGTGTATATATGTATTTTTATTATTACATATGAATAAACGTAGTAAAAAAGTATATACTTTTTTTATCTTTGGGGATCTCCAGAACGAATTAATGAAATTCCCATAGAAACCTATGATAATCGATAATCGGTTAACGAACAATTCAGATAGCGAACAAAGTCTTGGAACGGATTATGTTCGTTAACCGATCACCCACTGTACTAACATTTAGTGATCTAAATCAGGGCTTCTTAAACTTTTTTTATTCATAACACCATTTATGATTGTGATTTTTTTCATGACCCAAAAAATATAAAATAAAGATATATATACAAATTTGCAAAAAACAATAATGGTGTACTACCACAATTCACTCTTGTGTTACAATGGAACAGAGACAACTGAATACACTGAAAAGCGGCAACACTACACTAGTTCACACTACAATCAATGTTGCTGAATCATTGTCTCGCTGCACCAGAAGTGACACAAAGTGCAATTCACGAAACCTATGACACAAAGCATGCCATTTTCAAACTCTCACAAATTATTTTCAATATTTTGCATTAACATCTCACGACCCCAAGATTTCACTAAGTGACCCCAAATGGGGTCGCGACCCATAGTTTAAGAAGCCCTGATCTAAATGATGATACTAAGCATTCTTAATCCTGGATGTCCCGCATAAAACTGGGCCACCTTAAATGACGAAGTGCTAATTATGAAGCTTCCATAATGTTTTGTGAATAAAATGGCTTTCAGTATTTCTTTGTCTAATTTGTCCTTTTTATCAGAATGAAAATTACTATAATTTACTCAATTAGCGAGCTTGCATTAGTGATTTTACGTGGGATGCATCATATATACTGTTAACCCTTTTGTCTTTGTTTCAAAGACTTCGAAAATTTCAAATTTTGGTATAAAATTATCAATCAATTGTGATTGTCAGCAAGCCAGAATACAAGTAGTTAGAATTGTGAATTTGAACTTTTAGGAAATTTTTACAAGCCATTCTTAATAGTTCTCGTCATATGGTGTTGCCTTTATTATATCATTACAATCGTTCTGAGCATCATGTCATTTAACTGTTCTTATTGTATCCTTTCTGTTTGTAGTTTTTTCACTTTGTATTGTGTAATAACCTATCAATTATCTTACATCTTCTGCAGTATGGGGTGTGTGAAAAGTTGCCGTAAAGTGAAAAATTTGTGACAACATCAAATTTATATGTATGGCAGTGTATACTAGATACATAAGTTGTATGTCCCATTTTTCACTTTGTGAACAAGTGGTAACACCATCTACCACGGACGTTCTGGTTTTTGGAAGACTTCTTTGCCGGTCTTATAATCTCTTGCGGAATCTGGCCCGCTAGATCTTTGGACCTCCAGACATTTCCAGCATTTTTCTGTAGGGGGAACTGCAGAAAAGTAAAAGTTAAAATTAAAAGTGAAGTATCATACATGAAACTTCACTTTTAATAAAACTTAAACTTTTCCACTGCAAGGCAGCTTTTCACTCATCTTGTAGTAATGTGAAAAATTTTATTCAAGAGAAAATTTGAAAATAAATATATTTAGTAATGTTTTTCATTATTCAAAGCAAGTTTCAAGTTTTCTCCTATTTCTGTATTTAACAACTACACAAAGAAAACACCAGCAATAAAAATTTTTAATAATCTAACAATAAAAGTTTATTTATTTTATAACAGGTGAAGTCCAAATGATTCGATGATCAAATATCTTTATTAAACATTTATATTCTTTGTAGGGGTACAATGCCACCAAACTTTAAAAATTATACAAGAATTTTTATTAATATTAACAAATAAAATATTTTTCAAAAGGAATAAATGAATTTTTATGAAATATGATGTAAAAAACTTTACAGGAAAATAATAGTTATCAAATATTAAATAATTAAAATTTAGTGATATTGCAATAATAATTAGGTAGGGATATCGACAAATAAATAACGAGGACATTATTATTTTTGCCTTTAATCAGGCTTTTGGAAATTCTCTTACTTGGTGGGACAATAAGTACAGTCGACCCCCCTATAACACTGTTGATTATTCCGTTTTATATGAATTCCATGTTGTACGAGTCACTTAGATTTTACAAATACGTGAGCCGTTCACAGCCGGCACACTTATTTGTAAAATCTAAGTAACTCGTACAACATGGAATTCATATAAAACGGAATAATCAACAGTGTTATAGGGGGGTCGACTGTATTGCTACTCATTTTTAAGCATTTCTAAATATTATTCTGAGCTGCTTTTATGTGTGTGTGTAATATATATATATATTTGTTTTATTGCATTCAATTTTTTATAAGTTGGTAGTTAAAAATGATTGCTTATTTTTCATATTGCATATACAATAGCTACATTGTTTTTAAAAGTATACCACTGACTCTTTCTATCCAATTATTTTGTATGAGATATTAATCAAACAATATAAAAGTAAATTGTTTGTAGTGAATCATGCTACACAATCATGTTTGGTTACATTGGATAAGTGGTATTTAAACTGTTCGGATTTTATTGTTCGTCAATAAAATTCTTCTTTATCGGAAATGACTGTATTTAAGATAAGACGTTTAGTTTAAATTGTAAATCTAATTTTGCTTATTTTAAACTAAATGGAATTTATTTAGTGAATTCTTATCTGTCTCCATATTTGATTATCCATATTTACATTAGGTAGATTGTAAAGGAAAAGACTGTTACTGCAGTTTATAACTTTAAATTTTCCTTAATAATCCACATTTCTTTAATTTAAATACAGAAAAGGAACTTACTAAGTACTCCGGCTGCTGGTTTTTCTTTAATTTTTGTGTACATGAATATATCTTGAGGAAGAAATAAAGTAAAATAAATATTAATATACAAATCACTTGGATGTACAGTACTTATATTAGTGCATCATTTGATGAGTCTATAATTTGCAGTATGATTTTGGCAACATATTATTCTCTCTTTGTTGCTTTCAATCTTTTGAAAGCAAAATGATTCTAACTTGACGTTTTTTCCAACATCAACATTTTATATACACAGTACCTCTAAAGGAATTATATAATTGCCCTATCACTGAACTATGTATTACTGTAATACATGTTAAAATTTTACACTTTACTGTCATGTTACTTGGATTCTCAAAAAAGGAAGGGGGGAAAAACTATCTTTGAAACATCACCAAATATAAAACCACACAAAAATTATTTAATTTTTATAGATATTTAAAGTAATTAACCGCACTTTCTCAATATTCCATTGTTGTTATAAATATTTCATTTGTTAGTTATCGGACCTGACAAATAAAGTAGAACAAATGAGCGGACATCCCGACGACATTCACAAGATTCATCAGCTGGAAGGCAGGATCCGCGATCTGGAGATGAGGTTAGAATTAGAACAGACCACCAGAGCCAGATTGGAGGTAAAGAGTTTTGCCGATCATGTAAAATATTAAAAATTTAGTAGCACGACGGTAATTTTAAAATACGTAAAAAACAGAGTCAGCTGCACAGACTGAAAGAACAGTGCGAAAGAACGAGGCAAGAGTGCGATTCTCTACACAATAAAGAAGTACAATCTCAGGAGTCGTCGAGAAGACTGCAGAGACAGCTGAGAGAATTACGCGAAGATTACAGCGCTCTCCAGCAGAAAGAGTCGGAAGCTTACCAAAAGCAACACGAATTAGTATGTCCGTTCTTTCGCTAATGAATTTTTTAAAACGTAATATTTAAAAATAATTTTTATATTAGGAAATGGCTTTAGAAAACACCGAAGCAGACCTCCAGGCAACGCGAGCCGATCTCAGATTGGCCTGTCAGAGAATACAAGACCTGCAACACGCCCTCGAGGACGACATAAGTTCGGAGACGGACGTCCCCGAAGACAGGTAAATGTACCGAACTCCGTCGGATAACGTTCCGGGGTCGAAGGTCGAAACCTCATCCGAATCATTTCATTTTAAAGCGGATCGGAGAGCGACGGCAGCATCGACGTGTCCTCGGTGAGAAGCCATCGTCACTACGTTCCGATTTCCCGTCGACTGAGCAGTTCGAGCAACGAGGGAAGTCTGGAAACCGCGCTCCATCTTTCTCGCACTTCGTCTTTCGACCACGATTCGGCCTTTGGCAGTAGGTATGATTTTATCTAAGCATGCCGGCCCGTTCGAGCTCGAGCATACTTATTCACTTTTTCCTGGCTTGCAACATACTATTAACAAGTAAATAACTATTACTAATATAAAAATTCGTTACGTTTAATATCAGGTAAGAGATATTAACACGCATTCTGTCTTTATTAATTGCAAAATTAATTAATTTGTAGGAAATTAAATAGGAATAACATACTAACGTCTGTTGCTTTCTTGATAAATAAGAATTAATCTGGATAGCAAACACTTTGCATTCTGTTCATATTATGGAAAAGTTGCGTAATTGTGATGGGACGAGTTAAAAAATGCTTTACCTTAATGATTACAGGATGGACAAGGAGACCGATATCGCTGAACGAAGTTTCTCTCCACTGAATGGAGAACGGACGTCTCCGGATCACAAGCAGTCGGACGTCGCATGAATACCGAGGTGCTAACAAGTTAGGAAAACAGTCCGTCCCTTGGCGACAATTTTTACTTTCTCAAATAACGTAGGTAACTACTTTTGAGCGTTTCAGTTTAACGGATATACCGACAGGACGGTCACAAACCAACCAAAGATACTTCCAAATAATAACACGCGCCCATGCAAGATTCTCTGTATTTCGGGGCGGTTAGAAATAATCCGCAAGTAATTTTAACCGGTCAAAATATTTAAAACACGATATTTTTGGCATCGTCTACGTTATCCATCATCCGTTAATAAAGTAATGTACATTAGGAATCGACCGGCGGAAAATTTGTTTTCGTTACGAAAGTCCGAATTTTTAATCGTCGTTTTTTACCGGGCCAAAACACGAGACCGGACCATTCGACTAATTTTCTATGGCACCACGCTTTCCTTTTTTTTGTATCGATTACGGATATCCGTCGTCGACTGGTACTTAAGGGAAATCGAGCGGCCGTAACCACTCTCAAGGTGCTTCCTCTGGTAGTTTAAGAAACAAAATTATTATATAAAAAACTAGTCATCTCTTTCGAGTGTGTAATATGTATAATTAAAAATTCCAAAAATGTCAAATATAAATGTCAATCTTTCTATATTTTTCTTGGGTTGTTTGTTATACTGCTTTGATCTGCAATAAGCCTTATTACCATGTGTACGAGTCAGTTATTTGTAAAATGACTTATTGTGATTAATAAGATCTTTATAAATCATTATTTAATAAATACAATTTTGCAGATTTCATTTAAACTGCAAAACAAAATAATTATTATCTAAAATTTTTGTAGGATAAAATTTTATTAAATATAAATTTTCCTTATAAACAACTTATCTAGACTCTTCATTTGTCTTTCCGTGAAGAAACACACACCCGTTACCCTACGACTTATCCGCATTATCTCGTCTAAAAAACCACGATAAAATTACTAAAATCTATCCGTTATCTTTTGCCATTCGTTTAAACATTACGATTTCTTTTAATTACGTAATGTCTACACCTTTAAGAGTTATCAAAAGTCTTTGTAAAAACTTTGGCTACATATTTAAGCAAATGAATGTATTCGATATCGGTACATATCAGAATTTATCGAGTAAAAAATTAGATAATTGTTGTAAAATGGAATGGAAGTTACGGTCTTTTTAAAGTAAGACAAACGTAATTTAAACACCGATCGTAATGCGACAAAGCTCATTTAACTGTAGAGGACTGTTTTCTGTATTTTTTATGAAGAGAGATTTGTAACATAAACCAGTTCTTAGAATAATGCGACCGAATAGAATATTTACTGTAATTTAACAAGTTTATGGATATATTTAGGCATTCTTACTAAATAATTCCATACGATCCAGGCACCGCATGGCCTGGCGGTGGCACGTCTCGATTATACGCATCTAATTTAAAAGAGACCAAACAAAATTTGTAATTATCGACCTTGGTGCTTCTCCGACGGGTAAGATATTTAAAAAGGCCCCCCGCCGTCCGGCCTTTTTTCTCCTCCCACTCCGCCGGTATAGGGGACTGGCCAACTGTCCCAAACATTATGCCAAAAGGCTTTAATCTTTCGACAGTTAAATTTGTTGCCGAGTTAAACGTCAAAAGCATTTTCCGATAGTTTAATTTGTAAGAATTAGAAGGGAGCCAAGCCACGAGATAATGTGTCATAGACAAATCATTTATTATAAAAAAAAAACATTACAACGTGGAATGGTGCAGTCAACAATAAAAAGGAAACGCAATATAATTTTGGTTTTGGCTTTTCTCGACTCTTTGGTATTTTCGAACGCATCCGCCGACGCCAATTAACGGCAAAAGACGTAATAATTTTAAACGGCGGCTTTTTAAAACTACGATGTACAAAACGGACAAAAATAACGTCGTATACTCTAAAATAACGGCGGAAATTCCAATCGGCGCGTCCTCCTACAAAACGGATAACTCGAAATTTCGAACACGGAAACAAAAATAGCGGTGGCGAGGGGACGGCCCGGGCTCACACCGGCGTCTCATTCTGCTTTGTCGTATATTCTGGTGGACACGATGTTGTCGACCGTGCAGATCTGTAAATACAAGGACGGAAAAAGTTCCAGCAAACGGACAAATCGAAAAGAAAAGAAAATGTCGGAAGGAAGGGAGACTCACCACTTTCAACTTTTCGCCGTCCAATTCTCGGGTGATGACCACTTCCTTGTCTCCGAACTGCTTCTGGATCAGTTTGTTATCCTCCAATGTAATCACCGTCTAAAACGAAGCCGGGGATGAATACGCGGCTATTTTAAGCGGTTAATTAATTACAAAGTATAAAGAGGAGGGAACAGACCTTAACCACGCTTCCGTCCATGCGGGTCTCTTCGAACTCCTCTCCCAGTTTGAATTTGATTTCGCTGGTCTTGAACGTGGTGATGGTCTTGATGGACCAGGTGTCTCCGTCCTGCGAGATCTCCACCGTGGGTTTAGAAGTGGCGCCCAACTTGCGCATCACCATCCCCACTCCTGAAAAGAAATTACTCAGTCCAATAACGTTTTACTTCTTTTCGCCGTTCTTGGCTTTAACCGGAGTCTTAAGTACGTCGATACCGAAATCAGAAGGAAAATCCAAGTTACTATAAAACACGGGCTATTTCATTTCGCGCACATTCCACACAAATCGGGCTTTTGCCATTTCTAAGGTCACCGGATACCGCAGGAAATTGTAATTTATAACTCGAATTTTACGTTTAACGTCGTCCACCGCATTTTTCTGCCTCGGCAATTCGCTCTTCCTTCGAAAATCTTTAATTCCCGCAGGAGGCGGCGACGCCTCCGGGCGGAAAGGGTCAAAGGGCGCCGACTTAGAACAAACAAAAAACCAACTTTTCTGCGCAGACCGTTCCCCCTCTTATCGCCGGCAGTGGGTTCAAAGTCGCCCGAACCCAGCCGATTGTCGCTCTTCTTTTTATAATCCGATCGAGAGTATCGAAATTGCCCCGCTCTTTTTAATCGTGCGGAGAACGACAAACATTAAAAAGTCGTAAAGCGACGAAAGGAAAAAATTTTTCCCTCGACCCCTTTGCGAAAAGAAATTTAGACACGCGAATTTTGCGGTTCGGACGGGAAAGGGAAATTCCGGAAAATTGGGAGCGGGAAGGGACGGACGCCGGCACGTGCCGGGAGAAAAGGGGGAAAAAGTGTCGCGTGGGAGGAGAGACTGGAAGGGAAGACTCACCGGTGGCTTTCATGAACTCGTCGAAATTTTCGCTGGAGACCAGCTTGAACTTTCCCAGAAGAGCCGACATGACGCGATTGGAATTTGGGTTCGACTGCCTGGGGGACAGACGCTTCGCGGTTTTAAATACTCCACGCCCCAAACGTCGGACCTGCAGATAAAGGGGCCGCGTCACCGTCCGTTCCGAAGTCCGATCCGTCCCCCCCGTCGTCTTTTCCGCCGATCTTCGTTCCGGGGCCGAAGTTTTATTTGCCGTCGCGATAACAATTTTAAAAAAAACTTTTTGAATCACTCCTTTATCTCCCTTCTCCCCTCCCCTCTTACGCGCACTCGGCGCTTCCCTAGGCCTTAACGGAATTTACACGTTAGCTTTATATTTTTGCCGGATACAGGGAGTCCTTTCTCCATTTTTGAACAAACGAAATATGCTTAACGTTTCGTTTCTTCTTCCCCCTCCGATGCCCACCCAATCCGTAAATTTTTGTAATTAATCCGGAAGCGCCGGTTTCGCCGTTCGGCCAGACCGCGGCGCCTTCCAGTCACGTGATCGGCGATAAATTATTTTATTTTGGGAATCGGCAGACGTCGCCCGTGAAATTCTTCCCGGGATTTTAGTAAACGTCGAACGTAATTAAGTCTCGAAAACAACGACGACAAAGAAAAACGGCGTTAAGCTAAGCGCCATTATTATTACTACATGTATATATATATATATATATATCTGTAATATACTCGTAGTTTTCTTTATCTAGATTCTTTTCGTTTAGCGGACGTTACGACACATCCCGTCTGAAAATTCGGAAGCGAATAAATATGTCCGCGCACGATCGAGACCCAAAAAGAAAATCGGTCGGACGATAACGTACGATAATCACGTGACGTAGGCGGGCGAGGGGAACGACCGAAAAATCGGAAAAAGTCCTTTACTCGCAAACTGTTCCCTCCACTTGTATTTGGCCAGACAAAAGAGAGAGGGAAAAAAAAGGGGAATTTCTTTCTTTCGTATTAAATTTCTTAGAATTAGGTGGTAAGCCGGATTTCGAGGGAGAAAGGTCAGGCGGGCGGCAGACTGGACCCGTTCGGAGAACAATGGGAGAGACAGAGAAAGGTAGACCACGTGCGTCTCCCTCCGCCCGGTCCGATTTTTTTCCGCCGTCGGATCGATGTCCACCATTTTCCCACCCGATTTAATTTCCGTAGAGTCGGCTCCGGCGCGGCCGGCGTCCGGAAGCGTAGACGCGTCGATCCGGCGCGTAGCGTTACGCCGGCGACGTTGGCGCGCGCGTAATAAGTCGAAACGTTCTTGGCAAAATGGATAACGAAGATAATAATAAAAATTGCGGCCGGAAACGTCGATCGAACGGCCGGATCCCGTCGGAAGAAGAAGCTTATCTCCGTCTTATCAGATAATGCGACGGTTTCCGTTTCTTACCCAGAGCCTTCATGAAGTCTTCGAAGTTCTCGCTGGACACCAGCTTGTATTTTCCCTTTAAGTCGGCCATTTTACAGCTCTTTTCGTCGTCGCTTCGCCGGAACGGACTGCTCTCCGGCGTTTCTTCTGTCTAGATTCGATATTTCGCCGGTAGCGCCATCTGCCGTCCGTTATCCGTATCCCAGTCGGATCTGCATATTTGGCATTTCTAAAGGGCCGTTTGCGGCCTTCCAGCCGTTTTGTAATTAAGGAGGCGACGACGTAAATTCGGATAAGCTCTTCGCCCGCGTAAACCATTGGCGTACGCCGTAGAATTTTCCTCGAAAAATATCAGGAAATGGCGGCGGAAATAACGGTCCGTTCGATGAAGAAAATATAAAAATTTCGCGGACCGAAACGTTTAAAAATACAAACGCTTCGACCATTAAAGTTCGTGACCAGAAACAATAAGGCTGCTATTTATTGGCGCAAGTTTAAAATAATTCGATAAACATTAAATTCCCCGGCGAAAAGGAAATGGAATTGAACTGTGTTTATTTTTCTTCCTATTAAATTTAGGAACGACGAGTATCGCGGATGCTTTGGCATTCGAAGAATCGTTCGAGGATATCCACAATTTAAAAAGCCAATTCGGTGGGGAAAAAATTAGCCATAGGCTTCTCTCTGCCTACTCCAAAACGACTATCTTAAGGTAAAAATTCCCAAGAAAGCTTAAAGATAGGCGAGTACCGATAAAAAGTCGTACCAGTCGACACCAGAAAACACAGGAACCGAAGGGAAAGACTAACGAACGTGTTAAAAAAACGTACTTCGAACGAGGGAAGAAAATCGCTCGAATTTCCACCAATTAACGTCTCGATAACAAATTTGGTAAAAGTCAAGTTGTTAGTTTCCGGTCATTTGGGAATTTCGGAATTTATCCCCGTGAGTGTTAGCGTTTCGTAGAACGGGAAAGATACCCCCCGCATCAGCAAAAGCAGTACGTGTATTTGGAAAAGTAAAACAAAAATGTTTTCGTCCGTTTGCCAATAAAATTTTACTCAACAAAAAATTGATACCGGAGAAATTTTTAATATTGAAGCTAGGTTAAATCAATATTAAAAAAAAAAACAAAAGTAGTGTCAATTGGCCGACATTAAAACGTATCGAATAATATAAAAAGATAACGAACATTTCCCAATAAATAACGTAGAGAACGTCGATATATAATCCCCAGAATTAAAATATCGCAATTTATTTGATATCGATTAATTAGCGTTATATTTGTGGAAAATGAATCTAATGATAGAAAGGAAAGAGAATATTCAAATTTTATAGGAACTTATAAAGGAATAAATTTTTTCGAGTGGGACGGGAAGAGAGCGGAAAAAAAGAAAGAAATCTGTGGAACGGCATAGTAAAGAGGGTGCAAATGATAACAGAGGTCGTAATTAAAGTTAGGAGCAATCGTTGCATACGTGCGAACGGGGAGGTCGTGGTCGATGCGAGTCATTGAACTAAACGACGGCAGTACGTAATGCATTCGTCCTGTTTTTTTCTTCTTTTGTTCACTTATTTGGAAGACAGGAAATAACTCATTTCTTTCCGTAGGCCATTTACGCTCCGATTAAAGATACGAAGGACTATTTGTTCTACCAACGGACAAATCCTACGGATGAATTACCGGATCACGTCCGATAAGAGCCGACATTTTACACTAACCAGCGGATATCTTCTTATGCTTTACCGCTACCCACCTCGGTCAAGGTCGAATAAAGCGCTGACATTGCGCATTTAAGACCTCTTTATACCGTATTTACTCCGTTACGTATTACACTTATCTAGGCCTGTTTCTTATTACTACACTACTTCGTATTGTTCGCTTTGATTTCGTTTTGGTAATTCTTAGGCATGTGTGAAAACTAGACGACTTTCCTTCGCAATTCGCTTTTTAATACTCCTTCCATACATTAATTTATTTTATTAACTAAATTAATTTATTTTAAGAGGTATTCTGTACTTATTAAGGCTGAATTTTAATCTAGAATAACTTCAAATTAAACGTACGCCCATAAAACGGAAGCTTATCGAAGTACCGATAGCGAAATTCTCACTAATTTCCTTAAAAGTCTCTTATTTACGAGAACAAACAGAAAATTTACGCAATTCCTCACGTTCCCGAAATCAATAAGCATATTAATGCGAAAAATAAATTCGTTTAATTTTCCTAAAATTTATTTTCTTTTTTAATTTTCTAGAAACTAAAAGTAGTGGATTAAAAGCTTTAAAAAATCCCTATTGTCCTCGTTTAACTTATAGAATTTCTCATCCAGTCTCGGATTACGGTGTAACGTGCACCACTCTATCATCTCGCCCTTTCCCACTGAAACTATTGGGTTTCTAATTAATATAATATGGGATTTTAATTACAGAAAAAATCGAGTCGAAAAACCTCGTGTTAAGCTTTACGTAATACGGTAATTAACCGATGTATTTAAGATCACAGATGTATGTATATATATATATTGTAATAATTATTCGAAACACGTATAAGGAACAAGTTGAAGTCGCGTGCCGAAGTGCCCTCGGGATATAAACTTGTAAACGGTTTGATATGCAAACATAAAAAAAAAAGCTATTTATCACCAGTTAGGACGAACTTACAAGGAAAAAAGTTGTAATTCCGTTAGTGTTGTTGTCATAATCACTACTCCGAGTTTAATTAATTTCGTAAACTTCCTATGCCAGTTTTTTAAACACTGCTCTTTCAAATAATGCGAGTATTTTTGATAAATCCTTATTATATTTTAAAAACTGATAGGGAAAATATCAGAGCAATGATTAATTACTAATTAGAAACTCAGACGAACGTCCTTAAATAATTATTATTAATAAGAATTTGGGTCGGTTTTTTGCATCAATTAATCTTTAATAATATATATATTATTAATCGGTGCGAGAGGGTTTTTTTTTTATTTTTTGTATCGTAGAGATCCTTCGCTGATAATTGAGAGAAAGGAAGTCTGTAGCATTCTATGTAATTTTTGAACGAGGTCTGTCAATGGTTGATTTAATTATCTGTGTGAATAGCAGTTGGTCGATCAATTTATTCATTAGTGGCAATCAGTAACGTTTCACATCTCTCGACCTTGGCGTTTTTAAAATATTTCTCGATTGTTACTAATATTCACATGTAACATAGATTGCAGACCTACACAAAATTCGAGGTCATCCGACTAAATCTTATCAATCTGGCCTCGTGCTTTATGACTGATAGAACATAGATAAATAGCAGATGAACGATGCCTCTCGATATATTTTTAGCAACAGTTTCTAGAATTAGCCTATTACGGAATCCGACGGAACACTTATGTGAGCCGAAATGTTCACAAAAGTCCGAATTGTACGGTATAAAAGCCTGCCGAATTCGAATAAATTTTACACTAAGAAGAAAAGTGATTTATTAAGGAACCACGGAAAATTTTTACACAGTTATTAAGATGAGTGATTCGTTGAGAAACTTAAATATTTGTTACAGTGGGAACGCCCAGTTGGGAAAGTAAACGCACTTACTTGACTGTAGCTTAAACCGCAGTTTATCAAGATATCGGACAACGTTTATTCAATTCTGAAACTTGATCCCTCCAACTTAAATTCCCAAGAGAAAAATTATTTATTAAATATATTCCGGGAATAATTCAATTTGCTTTAGCGACGCAAAACAATCTCAAACAAAATTCATTTAACCTTTCAATTTTTGTAAAACTTAACTTTCTGATTCATTTGATCATATATTCTTTGTACTGAAAGCGATGGGGATTTTAAGCATTGATGATTTGAAAGTGAAATTATAAAATATGTTCGAGAATTTGTATATTTGCCAAATCAATTATTGGACCATGGATTTATGATAATGCTGAATGTACTAAATTTCCGAAATTAGACTTCGGGATCGTGTAACGAACCTGAGTAGTTCCTTCGAAATACGCAAATATTGCATTTACTTTATCGTTTATACAAATTAGAAACTTTCAATAAAACTGCATGTTTTATCATCATAATATACAATAGAATACGTTTGACAGAAAGACACGAAGATATATCTTAAAACTAGTTTAATAGTGGTATTCGTAAACATAGACAAATGTCCTTTTTTTCCTATGGTATAACGCACCATTGATGGTAACATATATATTTCCAAAGATAAAAAATTAGAAAAACGTATGATTTAAACAAGTATTGAACATAAATTAAAAGCAGAAACACTACATTAGAGAGATGATCAAAAATTGTGTAGACATCATGTTTTTACATAATGTCTTCCACCGGCTTAACATTATCGACGTAGGAACGTCGCTCGCACCATGTTTAAAGTGTGTATGTCAACACACACTACAATAAATTTATTTGCGCTTCGATAAGAGAATCCGGTACGTTTTTATTCAAGGGCCCATGGGACATTTATTAGATCAACAAGGAATTCTCTTGAAACTAAAATTCAACTAAGCTTAAGAAATTTTCTAAAAAAAAAAAGGTATAAAATTGGAAATTGTTGGAAAAAATCTGTAGATAGAAATGTTATTTATTAAAAGTCAACGATGGCAATATTTCATTTGTATTTACTTACAAATCCAAATGTATATTTTACTCGTTTATTTTAGTGAAAATATTGCAACAATAATATAACTTCTATATAAAGAAAGAGTCGTATGAAATTTATTACATATTAAAATTTTGGAGCAAGCCAGATCCTTCATAAAACCAAATGATAATATAAATAAACCATCTTAATTTAATATGAAAATTCAAATTTTTCTTTTAGAAACATGTTTAAAATAAAGTAGCGCATTAGCTTGTTACATATATTTATTTAAGAATTTATCTTTATATACAAATAAATTTCTATATAATACTGTCTCTGAAAATGAAAATCTACGATAACGAATTTTTTTGATTAAAATGAACAATTACTTTCCTAAAAATAAAAGTTTTTGAACGTTTTTTTTTTCAAAATATTACGCTGATAAACAGAAAAGGGACAAGATCAGGACAAAACAAGAGAAAAATGAACATTTCCAAGAAACAAACAAGTTCAGTAAGCTGAGGAATTTACAGAGATAAGACTGTTAATCTTTTTCTTGATTAGAATATAGGCCTAACATATTATAGTCGTTAAATCTTCTGAAAGTAAATTTTCATTCCATTAAATAAATATTTACATGCAGAGAAAGATTTACGATAAAAATAGTTTATGAAATGCCGTACAGAAAAATATACTATTCAGGATCATCTGATATCTGTAAATATATATATATATATATAAAGTCTATATATATTATTTCATTCAGATTTTTTTCCAGAATTTTGATTTTTAATTAATCATACTGCAGTTTTTCCAATTAAATTCCAAACTATGCGTTAAAATTAACGCATAATTTAGAATTTAATTGGAGTAATTTAATGGCAACACACTGTACAAAAATTTAAAGTTAAAAATTTTTTTGCTTGTCTCATTCTGTTTCATAAATACAGTATAAGCATTTCATAACCGATTTAACTAATTTTCAAGAATTTTTGATTGACTCTGCCATCAGACTTCCGCACAATTCACCTAGAAGTCCCTTTTACTGTAGAATTAACGTCAATAGTGTAGACGTTGACACAGTAACAATTTTGTCTCAATCAACCATGATTCGTTATTTAGTAGAGAGGCCCATATACCCGGAGTGAGAAGAAACAATTAGGAAGTGATTACTGGCAATATGTTAGGCCTCGGTAAAATGATGAAAATAATGTTAACACAATGAATAACCAATTAGAAAATGAAGTTCTTCCTTAAAAAAATTGACACGCTTTATCTCAACGATGAAAACCCTTCAAATTGGACAAATAACAGATAAGCTAATTAACAGTTTTAAAAAAATTTATGAAAATAAATAGAGTTTCCATTGAAAAACAACAGAAATTGTTTATTAAAGGAATTAATCTATCATACTTAATTTTTTTTAAAAATATTCAACCACTTATGCACTTTTCGTTAATCACGTTCATTTTCTTTGTATATCTCCACGTGTCTCTAATTAAGAATATATATTAATTAAATGAAAAATGTGTACACGATATTAAGGATGTTTATAATAATAAACAGAATTCTCGATCGAAAGTGGGAAATCAAATTACAATTTCGTTTTAGAAAATAACGCCATTGTAAATGATCTTAACAACTGCCAGATTTTCGGTGAAAATCTGTTAATTTTTGACTGAAAATTCACAATTCCTTCCCTTTAAGGAAAGGATTTTAATTTAGTAAATTCTCGCAATTGTTGGATACATTTATCTTCATTTTAACAAATAATACTCTGTTACGGAATTAATCGTATCTAAACAACGAGTATTACAAATATTTCCTAATCGTTTGGAATGAAAGTAAGTTATATGATGCAAAATCTGCGTGACCGATTTTCGATAAAACGGAAATTTCATTCGAGTTTTTCTTCTCGTATTAATGATATATAATCCGCAACATGGACATGCGATACTTGTTTTTGTAAGCCATTCGAGGAATAAAACAAACAAGATTTAATATAGTCTATAACTCTATACGACTACGTAACGTACGCACATTTACGTCATATAGTTATTAACATAGTTAAGTAATGATGTTTTTGAATCATTAACGGTGTAACATGTATTAATTGAACACAGATAATATTCTTTAAAATATCACTTCAATGAATTATAAAAAATGTTTCAAAAGAACATATGGCGACTGAAACAAGATACCTTTCCAAAATGCTGATATTGCTATATGAGAATCATTTTATAAAATAAAAATTTAAATATGAACAATTATTGTATTTGGATTTAAATAATTTTTTTTTTAATTTTTCAAATCATTGGCATCTCCTATATATTTGATAAATTCACAATGTAAACAATAACGAATATTTCTGATTATTATGCAAAAAATTATTGCAGGACTTCTCAAAAGTCGAGAGAGGCCCGAGATACCTTCCGGAAGCAAAAAATATATAAATAAAATAAAAGTTCATTTCTTAATGAAGAAGAAATGCAACAGAATAAATAATTTATAAAGCGTTGTATATATAAAAAAGTTTAACGGGAACTTCAGAACTTTTTGTATAAAAAATGTTTTTGAGGTTGCCCTAGATATGATGCCCCGGCTAAATTTGACCCTATTAGTCAGTAAAAGAACCTCTCATTAAAAATAGATAATATTTTTTAACATATTAAGAGCATAAAAACATTTGAATATGATAAACAAATTTATTAAAGAGGAAATTTTGTAATGTTTTCTTGTGTATTAAAAACATATTTTTTGAAATTTAATATCAAGAAAAGGATTTGAAAAATTAGATAAAGAAAGAAAAGACAAATAAAAAAACAAAAACTTACCACAAGCTTGAAGAAATTCGTCGAAATTTTCGCTAGATACAAATTTATATTTCCCGCAGAAGGATGACATCTTGACCAGCTCAACGGATGGACAGACAAACTGTATATTATAGCGCAATTCTTCTGCAAATTAAAGCAGTCATTTTTGTTGCGTCACCTCCGTGTCTCATTCTAACCAATAAAATTTGACAATTATATTCGAGATTGATGCATTTTCAAGGGAATTATTTAAATTTTATTACTTACATCTCCTGATCTTAATAATATTTAAATAGAATTTTTCAGAAGAAAGAATTATTAATTTTTGTTATTAAAATAACATTTTATCAGGAATTTTATATAAATTAAGTGATTATTATGATAATAAATTAGCTCTAAAATTATTTTCCTCTCTCTTTTATAATATTTTTTTTAAATCAAACTTTTTCTATTAAAGCAAATTAAGAAATTTGTTTCAGAAAATAACATACAACGCAAATATTAAAAATTATATATCTAAATTCAAATTTTCACATATCAATAAGTACAACACAAGCAAATAAAATTAAAGAACAATGTTCTTTTTTTTATGTTAATTTTCTAAAATTAAAACATTATATAATAAAGATATATTTGCATATACTTTGGATGAAATTACAACTACATTATCTTGCCATATAAACCTACATTGAAAAAAAAATTAAAAATCTGTTATAGCTTCTTTCTCCTAAAGAAAATGAAATTGTAATTTCATTTAAAGTATTTGCAAGTATAGCTTTACTTTATATATTTTCTGTGCTAGTTAAGTTAATTTTGAAAAAAATTGACACTAAAGAAATAGTTGTTCTTTAATTTTATTAGTTTTAAAAGTTTGATGTGTAAAGACTATATTTTTATGGATACAAAATTTTGAAATCCTCTTATGAATGAATATTTTATAAAAAGCTGAAAATATTTGATAAGAAATATAAAGTTTATATTTTGTAATTTTAAATATACAAGAAAAAATATTTTTTTACACATATTTCCTGTTTACAATGTAACCTGATCATGAAAAAATTTTTTAAGTCTAGTAAATATGGAGTATTTCCACATAACAAATCAAACAAACAGCTTACAAATTGCCACCAGATACTTATCTGATAAATAATATTAAAATTTCAGATTCATTTCTTGAAATTGTTATTTGGGTGGCAATTTGAAAAAACTGTAGACCTATAAATTCCATCTGTCTGTCTTTCCTTAATCTCGAGAATGGAATTAGATACACGAACGACAAGACCAGATATGGAAATCTTCGGGGCAGGAGGCACTGATTAACTACAAATGAACTTCTGATGCAAACTGGAAGTCATGTTATTTCAATTCAAACCTTTTCTCCCAAAAGGCATTAGATAAATGACTGACATATCTCTATTGTTAAAGGAAAAGTATGATGTTCAGGGGCAAGCCACTACTAATTTGAGACGTACAATATACTGTACATTGCATACTGTACAATATTTTAAATTAAATAAATTAAAAATTGCAGCCTGACATTGTGATGATGTCATAATAAATAACTGCTTGTTTATAATAGTTTATTAATCAAATAGAGAAATGTTTGATCTCTCAACTTTAATATAATAGAAAAATAAACATAGAAAATATAAATTTATTTTCTGAGAAAATTATCCTCCTTGATTAGTCATAATGCCACTTAAAAATATATGAAAAGCAAATGGAAATAATATGCAATTGCTTTCGAAAAGACTTATAATTATAAATTCATATTGTAATGTAAACAATAACGAATATTTCTGATTATTATGCAAAAAATTATTGCAGGACTTCTCAAAAGTCGAGAGAGGCCCGAGATACCTTCCGGAAGCAAAAAATATATAAATAAAATAAAAGTTCATTTCTTAATGAAGAAGAAATGCAACAGAATAAATAATTTATAAAGCGTTGTATATATAAAAAAGTTTAACGGGAACTTCAGAACTTTTTGTATAAAAAATGTTTTTGAGGTTGCCCTAGATATGATGCCCCGGCTAAATTTGACCCTATTAGTCAGTAAAAGAACCTCTCATTAAAAATAGATAATATTTTTTAACATATTAAGAGCATAAAAACATTTGAATATGATAAACAAATTTATTAAAGAGGAAATTTTGTAATGTTTTCTTGTGTATTAAAAACATATTTTTTGAAATTTAATATCAAGAAAAGGATTTGAAAAATTAGATAAAGAAAGAAAAGACAAATAAAAAAACAAAAACTTACCACAAGCTTGAAGAAATTCGTCGAAATTTTCGCTAGATACAAATTTATATTTCCCGCAGAAGGATGACATCTTGACCAGCTCAACGGATGGACAGACAAACTGTATATTATAGCGCAATTCTTCTGCAAATTAAAGCAGTCATTTTTGTTGCGTCACCTCCGTGTCTCATTCTAACCAATAAAATTTGACAATTATATTCGAGATTGATGCATTTTCAAGGGAATTATTTAAATTTTATTACTTACATCTCCTGATCTTAATAATATTTAAATAGAATTTTTCAGAAGAAAGAATTATTAATTTTTGTTATTAAAATAACATTTTATCAGGAATTTTATATAAATTAAGTGATTATTATGATAATAAATTAGCTCTAAAATTATTTTCCTCTCTCTTTTATAATATTTTTTTTTAAATCAAACTTTTTCTATTAAGGCAAATTAAGAAATTTGTTTCAGAAAATAACATACAACGCAAATATTAAAAATTATATATCTAAATTCAAATTTTCACATATCAATAAGTACAACACAAGCAAATAAAATTAAAGAACAATGTTCTTTTTTTTATGTTAATTTTCTAAAATTAAAACATTATATAATAAAGATATATTTGCATATACTTTGGATGAAATTACAACTACATTATCTTGCCATATAAANAAGTCTGTCTTAACACGCATTGAACAGAGCATGGAATGTGGGATGGTGCACCATCTTTCATGAACATTATATTTGAAGTCTTTGTTGAAGCTCTGTAATCAAAAAGTCATTAGCATGTTAAGGTTCTGTTCTCCAATAACGAAACAGGTTCAGATCCTAGTTGCATAACTTTAACGCCACCTATCAGTGACTTTTTGTACGAAAAATGACTGCATAATTTGAAGTACCTGTTGTCCAAATATTGTTTCATTTTGACAGTAGAACACTCTCTAAAGCCCTCTGGTTGGGAAAGTTTAATTTTGACAACCCTGTATTTATTAATAAAAGGAAGACTATAGCTAAGCTTTAAAAAAGTTCTTTGTGCAAATTTGGAAAAATTTTGATTGCATTATAACCATTCTTAACACTTTTATGTAAATTTTTATTGTCAGTATAATTCAAAATGAAGAAAAATGTTAAATATGAAGAAATATATTTTGTTGGAAAAGTTATGTTACCAGAAGAATGAATAGGCATTCTATGACTTTATTTATAGATATTAATGTATATAAAGATTATGAAGACAATCACTTTCTCAAAATGCTTTACAAAACAGAAAAATATTTCATCAAAACTTGTACAGTACCTCACTTTTTTTGTTGTAGATGCATTGATGTTATTAATGATGAATATACTGTAAGTATATACTGTAGTACTGTATTATTGCTTATCATTGAAAAGTCAAAAATCTACAAAATTCCTTAATGGTTTGTTTATACATTAGAATTACGAATTTATACAGTCAACATCAACTGATTTATAGTAGCATTTCAAGTTTTGCTTCGTGATTTCTTGTACTATTTTATAATACTTATTTTCAGTTATGTAATGCTTAACTGGATAATAAAATTAGTATGTAAAGAATCACTATGACTATAATATTATCAACAGAATGCTTTCTATTATCCATGCTCTGTTCTTTACAAGTTCACAATAGATTTCGTAGATGAAACATTTTTATTCAAGATTTCAGGTTATTCAGAAGCAATGACTGAAGTCTTTCTCCAGCTGATTATTTTGAAAATGAATGATGAACATTTTGCAATGTACCATACAAGGTATTCATAATTAAATAGTAGTTGTTCAAAGCTCTCTATAGAAAGAACTATTGGACAAATGTCAATTAAATTTGGTATACATATTGACCCAAGTATGTGGTTTTGATTTTCAGGGAAAAAAATTTTACTTCAAAATTCATTCACTAAGGTAAATTTGACATTACTGTCCCTTTAATGTGTACATTACATAAGTTTTCTATGAATTTCAGAAATTAAGAAATAAAGTGCAATAATTTTATTTCAATTATAGATGTGATTACTGATGTAAAATGTAGAATTGACAATTACATCAAAGATTTGACCTCATGTGCTCTCCATGCTCTAAAAACTGCATTCATTGCATAGCACACTCAACAGCAGAACTTAACTGACCTGCATGTGGTTGTTACACATGTAAAATTTTGTCTTTTAAAACATCTAGAATGGAAACATTGCTTGATAAACAAGGCTCTTTAGGTAGTCCTATAACCAAATGTCACAGAGGTTCAGATATGGGGAGTCTATTCTGTGTTCTTTCATAAGTTATAGGAAGAGATAAACAAAATTTTCAATAACTTGTCTTCATGCAAGTCAGTTAATGAATGTTAGTGAAATTGCTATTCTCTGCTCTGTATTTGGCAGCTACTTTAGAAGTAATTGGGTGAAATGCATCTGGGTTCCATGCTATCAGTTACAATAAATATTTTAGAATTTTAATAAAGTTATAATTGCTTATTTGTATCATGTGACCTCAATGCATCATTTATGAAATACCTTTGCTTTAATCATTATTGTTTAGACACATGTTTTAAAGATGTCATCTACAAGAAAATAGCATAGTCAGCTTACTAGTTAACAAGATTTTAAGATTTCACTCAAATTGATGGTAAATTATCTATTAAGTTGTCAATTATGCAGCAAACAATTATAACAATGGAAAAATATAAACAAACCAACTGACTTCAGAAAAGTGGCAAATGGTAGTGTTATGTCATCTATGCACAGTCTATTTCCATATTTTGTTGGTTCTTTACCATAAAACATTTATTTTGTGTTAAAGAAAAAAATCAAAAAAAGAGCAACCTGTTTAGAGAAGTAAATATCAAATTGACTATTAAATGATTTAAGGATAACTTACGGAAAATGATGATAAAAAATAAATAATCATTAAATGATATTGACACAGAAGACTGCTAATTCCACCTTTTTTAGAATAAATGACTAATCATAATAATTTATAAATATTAGTTTATGATCATTTTTATTAATAATTGACTTAGTCTTATTATGGTTTAAAAATTATTATTTTTTAAATCATATATTCACTATTTTTAATTTTCTGTTCAGAATAAAATTCCACTTAATCTTTCATTAAAATAAATATAGCATACTTTTTTAGCAGTATAATATTCATCAATACAGAAAGTTTTTATCCTTAACATACTTCAGTAATTTGAATTTCCAAAAAATTTAGTATCACACAACAATTACTGAATTTAATACGTTTTTAGATTGAACCTTGAAAACATTTTAGATTTTCTTCCAAATTATGAAATAATGAATATAATTCTTAAAGTTCTAAAAATTTCCAAATAATGGCATAGTTCATGCTTTACAAATGTTTTATCTCTCTGAAACTTTATCTAAATGTTAATACGAGACAAAAATGTAGATAAAGTTTATTAATAAGTTTATAAAGTATCTATCTTTAATTTAAAATTTTAGTTTAAAACTTTATCACTTGACTGCAGTTAAAAATTTGACATATCATTTCTATAATTCTCTAATCTGTTCTGATAAAACTTTATTTAGCATATACTAGTACTATTCATCTTATCAAATTTTGTCTTGTACTGATTCATATCTTAAATAATCTTATCTAAATGTGTCTCAAAAAACAGCAAATCAAATATTGCCGTAAAATTTCATCATTTTTCAGCTTTAAATTCATTTAAAATAAAATCGTAATTCCTAAACAATATAGAATTAACTTGTATTAACTACATATTTCTATATCACCAACTTGACATATTAAAATTCTGATTGGTTTTTGATTTACAATTCTTTTATAGAAATATAATCAAGATAAAAAGTTAAATTAACATATAAAATAAGAAATTTAATAAAATAAAAAAAATTTTTTTATCAAATAAATCATTAATGTTAACTGAATGATTATAAAATGTTCTTATTCATTATACTACTAATAATATTACATTGTTAAGTAATCAGAAAGTAAATTATAAAAAATAAAATTAAAAGCATTTAATCTATTGAGCAAGTATATAACACTAATATTAATATTTTTATAGCTTCAACTTTTTAAATTTCTTATTTTCTCAATAGCACTAGTTTTTATTATAGATGAATAAAGTATTATAATTCAATCTATATAACATTAACCTATTGACAAATGTTTAAAGTATTATAAAACCAGTAATAAGAATTATCGATGATAAAAATTTTACAAATTTAATTATAATACAAAATAAAGTAAAAATTTAAATTATATTAAATTTACAAAATTATTCTTTAATATTTTAAAATATTAATAAATTAATTTAAATTATAGACATTAAATTATTTAACAAAAAATTAATTGATAAGCTATCAATTCACTACTGATGTTAAGTATGTTTATTTAAGATTAATCTCTCTAGCCAAGTCAACTACTACTTAAACAGACAAAATAAAGTTTAATTTTGTAATATTATTTTCATAAAATTATTAAAGCATTACAAAATTGAAACATAAATATTATCAATTAAAACTTAATTTATATTTTAGCTCTCAATTTATAAACTTTTGTATTAAAAACTGTAATTTTATATGTAAAACGATTATATATTGTATTGCTCCTTTACTCCTTTATGTTATCTACTTTAAAAAAATTATAAAATTTATAAAATTATAAAACAGGTGATAACTTTATATTTTAGAAAGGAATTTCTTTTAATAAAATTCATTCACAATAAATTGATGTATAGCCTGTCAGTCATATTATGAAATACATCAAAAAATTTTACAACTTTTTATGATTCAAAATTCAATTTACAACTTTTTAAGTATGGAATTGTTTTAAGATAACATGCTCCATAATGCTCTAAACAAATTCTGTTATCAAAATCAGCTTTCACTTAAGCAATTCAGCCTACTTATCCCTATTTGAGTTATAATTTTTCTAGTGTTTACAAAGATATTTTCCATTAGAGATAAATAATATCAGAAATTGTATAGTAGTAAATAGAAAAAACAACACATTTCAATACATTTTTGCTTTCAGTATCTACTTCATATCTACTAACGTACTAGGCAAAAAGTTCTGGCGGTATCTCATTTTCTGCTGAGAAATGCATTGAAACATATTTTTTATGATTTTAGCTTAAATAGAAGCTAAAAAAGTAATATCATCTTTCTAATTGAAATTAAAAT